ATCTTTTATTTGTTTAGTTTGAATAAATTCAAATTAAAAAATTTACAGTGCAAAATGGTTAAAGTTAAGTTTTAATTGGCAAAATTTCATATAAAAAACTATCCATGTGCTGCTCATGCGATGAACCAAAGCCATTCAAACTTTACTTTTTCATGATTATAGGTAGGATAAGAAATTACGCCCTCGGGTTATAAACATAAAACCCATTTTTACACTACAAAATGGGTTTTATATTTAGATTCGGAAGAGTATTATATATTTTTAATAACGTTAGGCCATTCAAAATTTTCCCAATAGCGACTTCTTTGAAATAAAAATACGGGTCCATTAGTCAGAATAAATTACGAAAAAAAAACTTAGTTTTTTCTTCCTTAAAAAATTAGTAAGTCAACTTGAAGATAAATCTCCTTTCATCATCCACAGTGACATTTCAAAGGTAGAGAAATAACGTTAAAAATACTTTTAATTTACATAATTTCGAATATTTTTAACATTTATAAGGTTAAAGACATGATGCTTTTGAATTATTCAATAATTTTTCTAACCAAGGCAACTAAAGTGTTTTGATCCTTTTATAAAAGACGCAAAAATTAACGGTAAATATTTTGTAGGGAGAATGACAATTAAAAATCATGTAAAATTTGAAAATTTTGTTGTAAATAGGTTTTTATTTTATATTTATTCCTTTAAAGGGTTCCAGATTGTCATTCTTCCTTATATGTAGCCTTTTAAGATGAGATGACAGAAGATCCATGTCAAACATCACCGCCATTATCAATGAATAATATCTACCTATCTATCTTTTATTGATTTTTTTTCATACAGGAACATGGCAATTTTTAATTCATAAATTGTTTTCTCTTCCTATACCTAAGATTCTGAAAACTAGAATGCACTTTACTCTCATTAATTGGAATGTGAATACAATGATTTTTTTTTTTTGGCCAACATGAATGCCATAATTATCAAAACTGTTTCATGGAAGTTGTAGGTCCATAATCTCTTACCGAACCAGTTTCAGTACTCATCACAGTAATAAGTACTGTAATGCTTATCAAATCTCAACTGTTTCAATTTAATACGGACGATCAAAATTTAATTTTTTAGATAAAAAATAATATTTATTTAAAAATTATTAGTTAAAAATTTTAAATCTAGATTTCATGGCAGCAATTAGTATCACGCTGCCCGTAACTGGTTCCTCTCTAGAAGATAACCATCTTTAAATTAAATGCTGTCTATTAAAGGGACAACAACATTTAACATATTTTTATAACCCCACTTTGTCAAGTCTCCATTGAAAAGGTAACACAATAATATTTGTGGCCCTTGCTTTCAAGAGGTCATAAATGATCTGGCCCAAGAAAATCATAAATAAAATTTTCAAAATTTTTTATATGAAAGCCTGAATGTTAATGTTAGGGGCCAGTCTAATAAAAAAAAATTAATCATTCACGACATGATGAATAGAGACTTAAATTCCAACCGAGAGAGGTGTCACATTTAATACTTGAGAGGCCTCAAACCAGAATACTTTTGTCTAGCAAAAAAAAAAAAGAAAGAAAGAAAGAAAACCCAAATGTTATTCCCCACAATACTAATATCAAGCTTTATCTTATTAGATGGCGTTAATTAGATAAATTACACTATATTGTTGTCCTCTATCAAGTTAATTTTCAAATATACCATTCATTGATTTTGATCCATATGAGAATTTTGATAGAGTTCCACGTTGATTGTTAATAGCTTCTTTTTTTTCCCCTTTTTTATGTGGACACTTTAAAACTTTCCCCACCAAGGAACCCAAGCACCACGTACCCCATTTTTGTAACATGGGGGTCTAGAACTTACAAGAGGACATATTTAGAATGGCCACGCTTGCTTGAATTTATACTAAATTAAATTTCTATGGTACAAGCTTACAACCACGTGCCAACATTTGTTGAAAAGATGACACTGCTTTCTTTTAATTAAACAGATAAATTTCCCAATAAATAAAATAAAACAGTAAGATAGCAAGCTGCCATATGAGAAATAAACAAGTGGAGGCAATGACCATTTTAACACCAAACTATTCAGTGTACAATAAAATGATACCTTGATTACTCCCGTGGGGTTAGGTCAGCTGGCTGGGGCTGTCCTAGCTTAACCACGGATCTCGGGTTCGAGACGTGGGAACGCAGCACTTCAAGGGGCCAGGGGGCGCCGTCCGAAAGGATCCTTACAAGCCCCCGAATCCGGACTAGTATGGGGTCGTTGTCACGGCTGAAAGACGCCTATTATCCTGGGATACCGGATGGAGTAATCCAAAAAAAAATGATACCTTGATTAATAGGGAAGGAAGGAAGGAACATGGTCCCCCTCAATCCTCCTCCTTTTATGTTGCTTTGTTTCCTTGAGCTCCATTATGTTGGCCTACTCATTGGCACCTTCCAATATAATATTATTACTTTCACATTGATTCACCTACTTAATAACTAATGACTTAATTAATTGTTCATAGAATCATCAATTTCTGTATTGGGATGTGCAAATATGGTTAGTGCCTTCAATTCAATTAGTGATTGACATTTGTGGACATGGTTGATCTTCTACAGCTTTTTTTTTTAGCCTACAGATACCTTGATTTGATTTCCCATGAGGTAGTTCTTTGGAAAAGTGTGCATGATGGATTTGGATTTTTCTTCTTTGTTATTTTCGATAAATCTAAAAATAGTACTACTTTGGATGCTCTGCATTTTGTCTTCAATTGCAAGTCACATTTTAGAATATATTACATATCTAAAATATAAGTTATACTTCTCTTATCTTATTTATAAAACACTTCGAACATATTTCACATAGACTAAAAAAAATCTTAAACCTCATTAACTCTCATTTAAAATTTAATGACTTTCTAACTTTATCTCTATTTAAGATACGTTATACCTCATATAAACAAAGTCAACACAATAATAAATGAAGGGTAAAATTGTATATCCATATAAAAAATTTCTCTCAGTACCCTATAAATAGGATCAAAAAATGCATTCTCTCTCTGCCCTATAAATAGAATCAAAGGATTATATATTACAAGATTTAAATGATATTAAATATTTTTTTCATTCTTGCTCCTCATTAGATTAAAAAAATTAAAGGAGTAGAGAGAAAAAAAAGAAATTTAAAATTCATTTTGCTAGTTTAATTCTAAATATATTACCGACGCCAAAATCTAAAGATTGTATCTGTTATTATTTGAGCCATTATCTTATTGATAATTGAAAATTTTTAATTGAATTTGAACAGAGTCAACCATACGATTGTGGCAGTACGAATAACGCAATTATTAGATAACACGGCTGGAAATGAACCAAATTATTAATATCCGTAGACTTATAAATTACAAAAAAAAAAGGCTGGAGAAAAAAAAAATTACAAAAATGAAGCGATTTTAAAACGATAGTATTCAATTTAGAAAATATACAATAACTGAAAACATTTAGCAAAAACAACTGCCATTCTGATCCTTATTATAATTTATAAATCACTCGTAATTTCATATAAAAAAAACTCTAAATTGATAAAAAAAATTTTAAACTTATTCTATAAGTGATTTATATTTAAAATTAAAAAATTTCTCCTACAAGTAACTATACTAATGATCCCAGTGGCATATGAATAACATATTTATACATTTACTTACAATTAATTTGATCGACTTATCCCTTGGAAAATAACTTCATACGCGGTTTAGTTGAATTGACAAGCATTACGTCTGGCATCTTTGGCTAAAGAAAAAAGAGGCCAACTTTACAAGCAACAAAATGCTGTTCTTTTGAGTAAATTGCCAAGTTTAGTCCATAACGCCCTCATTAAGCAACTAGCGCTTTACTTTTTAATAAATACTCCTCCGATCCCTAATATAAGAATCTAATTATTGAGTTAGTTTTGGTTCTAAATATAAGATCCATTTCTCATATTTATCAATTTTTTCTAAATTACCCTTATAGATACTCTTTCAATCATAATCAAGTAGAAGAAGAAGATGGGGTATTAAGAAAGATAATTATGATATTTTACTATTTAGGAAAATAGTGTCACATTTCTTATAATTAGCTAACTTACCTAACTTTCTTAATCTAATCAAATTAATTTAATATATCTTATATTAAAGACAGGAGGAGTAATACAAAATTAATACGCACACACATAACTCTAAAGAGGGGCCTCTTGTAATTTTTCACACAGGGAAAAAAAAAAAAAAAAAAGGCTGCCAATGGCATCCACAACACTTTTTTTTTTTTTTTTTCGTATGCACTGGTCAACTCACTGAGAAATTACAAACCAGGCTCATCTGAGTTGGATTACAGTAGGAGGAAATTACATATCAGACAAATCCGGATCAACTCATGGTGAGACCCATACAGATAGCGACTTTACCACCTGTAGCGTTGTGTTCATAAAGGATCAAACCCATGATTTTTTATTAAATTAAAACAACTCTTAACAGTTTATTCAAACAGTGCTAACATCCACAACAATTTAATGCTGCATCATCGGGTGATAAATAAAATATCATGATGTATGAATCAAGAGGAAGATTCTATTTTCGTTAAACAAGATTAAGTATTTAAACTTTACGAATTTTTTTTTAAAAAACTTGTTTTCTTGCCAGCAAATCATGTTTAAACAAATCATATTTAAAAAATTACTCCTCTATTCTTAAATATAAGACTAGTATAAGGGTCTAAATAAGAACAGGAAGAGTGCTTTCACAGAGCAACAATAATTCAATCTTGTACAGTAATATTAAAAAAAAAATCCTAACACTAGCCCTATGGAATTGACAAACTCGCTCAATAAAATATTGGATGCAGGTAACTACAACAATTTATCTACCATCTGTTGGGGCATCTCTCCAAGGATCCGTATCCTCACAGAGAGAGACATATACCAACGTGAAATTTAGGTTTAGGCCTCAGAAAGTGGAAGGGAGAAACAAAGAAAGAAGAAGAAGAAGATAAACACAACACGGAAAAGTATATTCATTAATTGATGTAAAAGACCATAAACAAAGGGGTGGCCAAACAAGCCTCCACCATTCAAGATTATAGAAGGCTAAAAGATTGAAAAAGGCCAGGTGACTCGCAGTAACACAAAAAACCTCACAATATTTACACACCCTATATATACTGTACAAGGAAATTTGCTCTTCTTCCTTATATGCTCTCGCTCCATGTCCCTTACCAAAAGCAAGAAGAAACCTCTTCTTCAGGCAACAATGGAGTCCTGCAAAGTGGGCATGTAATGTTCCAGTAGCCCAACCACTTCTCCAAGCAATCCTTGTGGAAGAGATGACCACAGGACAAGCGATTTACTTCAGATTCTGGTTCAAATTGACTCAGACATACAGAGCAGTCATGTTCTTCAGGATGTTTGCAACCACACAAACTGTCAAACCGGATTGTCGGTGTCCGGCTTCTGAACTCTTCGATGTAATTCTCCGGCGAACAGAGGTCAAACTGGAGAGACTCAGGCAGGTCTTGAGAAGGGGATGATTCTGATGATGATGGTGTGGTGGGAGATGATGAAAGACTGATACCAACAATGTGAAGGATTGTTCTAACAATGCCTTTAACTAAGGATATAGAAAATGCAGTGTTAACCAGAAGCACACACAGTACCCCTTCAGATGGAGCTGGCAGACTTGAGAGGCCCATTCTGATCAGAGAGATATGAACTTTCTGATATAAATGCTATCCCACAGGAGAAACTTGACAGACTGCAAAGGATTATCAGTGAGTCAAGGAGGATCAGCAGACATGGAAATGCATAAAGACCGGAGTCTCTGAGTCTCTTTTTTCTGTGACCTGAAAATACATTAGAAGGAAGATTAGTCAAAATCATGATCAATCACGCAAAAACTAAAATGGAAAGATACCAGAAGTGGAATTAAAAAAAAAAAATCAAGCATCGAAGTAACAAACAGCATAGGGTTAAATACTGACAAAATAGCTAAAGTGTCTGATCGCACAAGTTATTTGCATAGACCGTGATGGAAAGGACGTGAACGTCTCCAAAGGAACTCAGAATTTGGATGATCAAGAGGAACATAATCTCACCCCAAAAAAGGAAGATTAAAATCGAAATCCAGAATGATAGTTTCTTTCCTCTAGGGAAAGAATAACTATTCAGAAAAATTCATCTACAAACCGAATTAGATTAGAGCAACAAATATCAGGATTCCGGAAAACTAAAACAAGAACAAGCAAGTTATTACAGAACGAAAACTAGACCTAATTAAGCCCAAGTAATATCTAACTTTACATCCGAGGGTCGAAACTGTAAGATGAGGAACAGAAATCAAATGATAATAACTAGCTTGGCTTCATCACCATCGAGATCTACCACGGACCAAAAGTTTATGAAGCACAACAGGAACTAGAAACCAATAATTAATTATATCAAATCTAGAAAATATTGCAGAATCAAAGAAATGACACACTCCAGAGAATATAAATCCTACTTTGACACCAGAAGTCGAAGAAGAGATCTAGCATTATAGAGAACAATTTTGGTTGATGGAAACGCAAGCTTTTCAGACATTAAAAAGAAAAAGGAATACATTTCGAGACTTACAAAAGAAAGATTTGAAGATTGCGATTCTGGGTAAGCAGGAAGAGAAGCTAGGGATTAGGCTTACTCAATGAAGAAACTCACAGAGAGGATGATAGCTGATAATGGGCAATTGGGTAAGCTTTACTGAAGAACCCCACGCTGGCAGCGAGCGATTGATATAATAGCTGAGTTTAACCCAAGAGGTTTAACCATGGTTACAGCATCGTGCTTTCCCAGGCATGGTGGTCACTAACCATGGTTAAAGCTGAAACCTTTTTCAAGAACCAATGCCTCTTTATGACATCAGCCATCATCCATCATCCGTTGCTTCTTCTGGTTCCTAGCTTTTTTCATCTTTTGAGAAATAATCATTTTTCTAATGGGAAAAAAATACAGGCTAAATTCAAAGATTTTTTTTTTTAATTATGTTCATATATAGCTATTGACAATACAATTTGTCCAAAATCTTGTAAATATAGAATTTGGTATTTTCTCGCTGTCTTAAACTTTTAATTTTACTCTAAAAAGGTAAGCTTGCGTCATAAATAATAATAATTATTATTATTATTAGCTGCTGTCTCTGTCTCTGCCATGTTCTCTTTTGTCTTCTAGTTTGTCTAAACGGGGGATGGATTAGTTCTAAATTTGGGTAAACATTTACTTTAATAACGTTTGGTAAGTAAGTAAAAAGAAGTGAAAAAGTAATAATGAAAGAAAGGGAAAGATAAACTAACAAAGAAACAAACAAACAAAGACACGCATATAGTATTTATTTGGCAGTTAGGTAGGAAAAGGGTTCCCCTAGAGAAAGGCTACATAATTATCAAACTACCTCCGATGCTTAATATAAAAATTAATTAATTAATTTAAATAAATTAAGAAAGTTGGTTGAATTAGTTATTTGTAATAATTAAGTATTGTATTTTCTTGAATACCCTTACTAATCATATGTATTAACTAAAACTACTATTTGATTGAATATTTAATATATATATATATATATATAACTATTACAATGACTACTTTAAAAGAAATAGATAAATATGATAGACAAAATGAATTAGAATCTTATATTTAGGATCAAAATAAAAATTAAACAAAATCTTATATTAAAGACCAGAGATAATATATTTTTAGGCACAAATTTTTTTTATTAGAAACAAACTTATTCAAGACACTGCTATTTACCAAATATAAGCCTCTTTCTCTGCAGAAATTATAATCTTAATTTATCACGTTGTAACAAATTAATCCTCCAAGTAAATTCAACTCCAATTGGTTAGACAATCACCTTGTTAACAGCTAGCAATAAGTAGTTCATTCAATGGGTCCATAGGGTGCCTGAATTTTTTTTTTTTTCCTTGCCACCGCCTGAACCAATTTTATGAACCATAAATATTTATGGCACTTGATTAATAAAAATATATTTTGAGAAAGCACAAAAATTATTGGGAAAATGACAATAAAATACCACTTGAATTCTAAAAGGACAAATAAGGGACCTGAATAAGCAAAATGACAAGGAGGTCACTGGGAACCAATCTGGAATTAATATTTTCGACCAAAAGACCAAAACGCCCTGATGAATGCGGGAAGACCGAAAGCTGAAAGTGAGAGAAAGGAGAGAGGAAAACCGACGCAGTGAGAGAAAGGAGAGAGGAAGACCGACGCTGATGAAATACGGGAAGAAGGAAAGAAGAATGTTGGAAATGCTATTATCTGACTCTTTCGCATCACCATTCTGTAGAGATTGTTGATTTTGGTTGTGGGAAAGAAGATTTGTAGTGAGAGAGGGAGTGAACCGAAGCGGAAATCAGCAAGCAATTACATAACGTAACTGCTGTCATATGCCTGCTGGTTTTTGGTAAATCCCATTACGTGAATGGTAAATTTCACTATACATGTAGTTAATTATGAATTTTACAAAATACATATTGTGATTTACAACTTTTGTAGTGAAAGTGACTACTTTGTTAATGGGTTTTGCAACCTGTTTTCAGGAGATAAACAACTTGTTTGTAAAAACTAATAAAATTTCACGCTAAATTTGACAAAACGTATAGTGGGATTTACAACTTCCGTAGTAAAAATGACCACTTATTCAATGGGTTTTGTAACTTGTTTTCAGGGATGGGCAGCTTGTTTCTAAAAACTAATAAAATTTCCTACTAAATTTGACAAAACACATAGTGAGATTTACAACTTTCGTAGTGAAAATTACCACTTCTTAAATGAGTTTTGCAACCTCTTTTTAAGGAATTGGCAACTTGTTTCTAAAAACCAATAAAATTCCATGCTGAATTTTACAAAACATAGAGTGATATTTACAACTTTTGTAGTGAAAATTACCACTTCTTAAATGAGTTTTGCAACCTCTTTTCAGGGGATGAGCAACTTGTTTCTAAAACCAATAAAATTCCATGCTGAATTTTACAAAACACACAGTGATATTTACAACTTTTGTAGTGAAAATTACCACTTCTTAAATGAGTTTTGCAACCTCTTTTCAGGAGATGAGCAACTTGTTTCTAAAAATCAATAAAATTTGATGCTGAATTTTACAAAACACACAGTGATATTTACAACTTTTATAGTGAAAATGACCACTTCTTAAATGAGTTTTGCAACCTCTTTTCAGGGGATGAGCAACTTGTTTCTAAAAACCAATAAAATTCCATGCTGAATTTTACAAAACACACAGTGATATTTACAACTTTTGTAGTGAAAATTACCACTTCTTAAATGAGTTTTGCAACCTCTTTTCAGGGGATGAGCAACTTGTTTCTAAAAATCAATAAAATTTGACGCTGAATTTTACAAAATACACAGTGATATTTACAACTTTTATAGTGAAAATAACCACTTCTTAAATGGCTTTTGCAACCAGTTAATTCAACGTGACTACAAAAGTTGTCACTTTTATTAGTTTTTACAAACAAGTTGTTTATCTCCTGAAAACAGGTTGCAAAACCCATTAACAAAGTAGTCACTTTCACTACAAAAGTTATAAATCACAATATGTATTTTGTAAAATTCATAATTAACTACATGTATAGTGAAATTTACCATTCACGTAATGGGATTTACCAAAAACCAGCAAGCATATCACAGCAGTTACGTTACGTAATTGCTTGCTGATTTCCGCTTCGGTTCACTCCCTCTCTCACTACAAATCTTCTTTCCCACAACCAAAATCAACAATCTCTACAGAATGGTGATGCGAAGGAGTAAGATAATAGCATTTCCAACATTCTTCTTTCCTTCTTCCCGCATTTCATCAGCGTCGGTCTTCCTCTCTCCTTTCTCTCACTGCGTCGGTCTTCCTCTCTCCTTTCTCTCACTTTCAGCTTTCAGTCTTCCCGCATTCATCAGGGCGTTTTGGTCTTTTGGCCGAAAATATGAATTCCAGATTGGTACCCAGTGCCTTATTTGTCATTTTGCTTATTCAGGTCCCTTATTTGTCCTTTTAGAATTCAAGTGGTATTTTATTGTCATTTTCCCAAAATTATTTAATCCAACAACATTTTTTAAAGTTTCACTTCTTTTTTAAATAACTAGAAGCAAGAAATCAGGAAAAAAAAATCATATTATTTACAATTCAAGTAAAAGATATACTATTTAAAGTTTGTTAATCATACAACTCCTTATGAAATTTATATTCTAAATTGATGGATGATTATTGATTAATCAGAAACTATTACTATTTTGAAGTAAATTATGATCTACTTAATAAAATTATACATACATATCACATCCAACAAATTTTGATATGATATAACAGAAAATTAAATGGAATACAAAGTTAATCCATAGCAAGTATTAATATTGAACAGAAATTATACTATATGAAATTTGTGCATTTCCTTCGCCTTTCCTGTTCTGTTAAGCGGGTTGCTCAAACAAGGCATAATATCAAAATTCTTTTATATATAATCTCTCCTTTTTATTATATTTGTCTTTTAAGAGATTTCAGTACATATATTAAAAAATATAATTCATATGGAAAAAATTTTTCCACATTGCAAATTTATCCTTAATTCATTTTGTAATTAATAAAAAGAAAATAAAAGAACAAGTGTTTATCTATTTAGCACTGAATATGAGCATATCTTCTGATAAGAATTCTAAGATATTAAAAATTGGACTAATCTTTAAACTAATCAAGATAATAATTCAACTCAAGAGTCAATAATCCATACGTGACCCGGAAAAAATAATATTTTTTGTGAAAAGTAATATTTAAATAAATGATATTACTAATTCACAAGTAAATAAAATATTTAAGCATGAAATTAAACCATATATAATGCAGCAAGATAGAGTTATTGAAGTACAAAATTTTTTGGTCAAAATATTAAATTACAAATTTGACAGACTATTATTTTCTTAATTATCTGAAGATATTGTCATCTCAAGTTTAATAAGGAAGAAAAAAATATGACATTCATCTCAATTAACTCATTCAGAACTCTTAATAAAACTGACTAGCTATATTCAGTTGGCCTGGGTTAAGTTTTAAAATAATTGATTCTTGAAAACTTGTAAAAAAAAAAAAAAATGGCAGAAAAAATTGTAAAAAAATGGTCATTTTTCAGAACCTTTTATTGATGACGTGGACTCTACTAAATCGCGAAAGAGATGTAATGTAAGTATTGAAAAAGGCTGTGATAATAAGACAATGACAGTTGTGGCACAAATTAATTAACCTCATCTTTATATATACACTACCTCCGGTCATAGTTTATAAGATCACGTTATACACTATAAACAAAGTTTTATAATTAAGATTGGAGGTAGTGTGTGTATATATTAAGGGCGTTTCTGTTTAAAAGGAAAATTATAATAAATTAATTTCTGAGAAACATTCTTTCGGGACTATCAGCGCAAAACTTGAGAAGATAGTCTCGGATATCTTCATATCCTGGCGGTGCTTATTGGATTTCAAAGAGATTATGAATTTTAATATATACACTAAAGAAATTTTTATATTTTTTTTTTGCCACCGAATTAACGTTTGCCATATTAAACGTTTTCATTGGCATATATTAATATACATACGTACATGAATTATTGGATTAAATAAATATAAAATAAATACAGCTAGCGTCCAAGGCAAATTGTTCGCAGCTC